GCACGGGAAGCTGCTGGGCGGGCACGAGCCTGCGCCGGGACCTGTAGAGGCACGCGCGTGCGCACTGCAGGCAGAACCTGGGCCCTCCGGGAGCAGGAGGCCAGGGCCACCCGCGGGATGGGGCTGGGCCCCCGGGGGCAGGCTCTACCCCGTCCCCCATCAAAAACAAGGGCAGTGAGGAGCTGGACTGCGGGCCCAGGGTTGGAACCAAGTCCCAGGGCCCCAAGAGGTCCCACCCAGCCCCAGGGAACCTCCGGGGTGTCTCCAAGCTCGTGGCTAGGAGACCTGGCTGGCGGCCATCTCTGACCTGCCCAGCTTCAGGCCGGGGGTCAGCAGGGCCCATTACATCCACCTCCCTAGCAACGGGACACGGGGCCTGAGTTGACCTACTCAGCCACATCTTGGCCAACTCACCCAAGTTCCTCCAGATCTGACCACTTTGCCCATCTGAATGTGGCACCTCATCACCAGGCCCTACTGTCTCCACAGCACACCACAGCAGCACCCGGCCCAGCCCTCCCCGGGCCCTTCCTCCTCCCCTTCCTCCCTAGCAAGCTCCCTGTCCTGGCCCCTCAGGCCTCTCAGGGGCTTCGCTTGTGCTGGCCCCGGCCCTGTCCTGCCTCCACGCTGCACCTGCCATTGTCCTCGGCTCTCCGGAGAACCCCTGGGCTCTGCCTGCCACTTGTAACCTGGGTCCTCAAACGGATACTCGTGGCGGCCGGGGCCCCAAGTGAGCTCTGGGCACACAAGTCGGGAAGAACCCGGTCCTCCTGGCCTCTGTGCTGAGCTGGAGAAGCGGAAGGAACAGAAGCAGGGCCAGCGGGAGCTGAGGGCAAGGGGCAGGCCTAGGCAGGCGCCTGCGTGCGGGGCGGCAAACACCTGGCCTCACCTGTCCGGCTCACCCCACCCCATGTGCCTGCTCTCCTTGGCCCCCCTTTACAGAGGCCCGAGCCTCCCAACCCCCCACCCTCACAGAACTGATCCCCTGTCCCACTGCCTGTGGCCCCACAATCCCTCAACTCTGTAGACGGAAGATCTGCAGACACCCTGAGCTGCTTCCTTCCTGGCCCACAGGGGGTCTGGCAGCCTCTGGGTGAGGCTTCCTCCCCGGCCCAGCCAGGATCCCCAGTGCTGCTGACCACCTCCGACCTCCCGTCTGAGAGCCAGAGCGCCCAGCAGGGAGGCGTGGGCTCACCTTACCCTCTCAGCTGCGGGGCCAGAAGTCTGTCAGGAGAGGCACCGCGCCCACCCCCCCTCCCAGGCAGTCACGTGGACTAGCCACTGGGAAGTGGGGAAGCTGAGCAGTCAGGTGAAGCTGCTGACCCTGACCAGTGACCGTGACCGTGGCCAGGAGGGCTCCTGCTCCTCCAGCTTTGACTTGCACCCAGGTGTGAGGGTTGGGGGGGCCTTGGTAGGAAAGGTGTGAAGGAGACATGTGGCATCTCCTGGCCCGGCTCCTGGAGCCTGATTCAGGGCCCCTTCCCGTGGCCCTGGGCCAGAGGTGCCTCAGATGCGTGGCAAGCTTCTGGGCCTCAGCAGCCTACTTCAGGGCCACTGTCTGGCTAGGTATTTGCCCGCCAGGGGGTGGAAAATTTGGGGGGGAGGGTTAAGAAACCATTAAGAGTATCCTCTTTATGGGGCTCCCTGGTGGCGCAGCGGGTTAGGGTGCAGCACTGCATGCTGGCTGTAGCCAGTGCGAGTTGGATGCTTGGCCGGGAGATGGACAAGCACGCAGCAGACTTCTCCTGACCCGCCCGCTGTTCCCCTCAGCAGTGTACTTCGTCTATCCGCCTGTTCTGCTCCCCACTTTGTCTCTGGTGAACCCTCTCACTGCCCCTGCGCCTCTGGCCTGTACCCCAGATGTGTGCATAAATAAATCTTAAAAAAAAAAACACTTTTTTTCTATGCACAGTAACTATTAAAGATCATCACACTAAAGTACCTGCTGCTTTTGATTTATATGGCAGGTGGCTGGACCCCGCTTTTGAGTGTGCAGCCCTAAGCTAGCAGAGCTAGGTGCCCCTTGTCGCACACTAACAAGCTGAGGTTACTCTGACTTCCCCCGGCCTGTTTCCTGACCTGTGACGGTGGCAGGCTGGGAGCCCCGCCGTGTCCTGAGACATAACTGCTTCTGTGTGGCTTGGCACTTGGTTAACATGAGTCCTGCTCCTTTAAGGGGTCAGGAACATTTACCCTAAAGGTGGGGGGTGACACAGAGCCAGGTGAACCCAGCTCACCGTGGGGGGCGGGAGGAGGCCGGGGGACTCAGAGCGGGCCACATCATTTAAGCCAGGATGAACCGCTGAGAACCTGGGCTCTGGGGGCGCCTTTCCTTCTCTAAGCCGGGGAGGAGGAGCAGCGATCGGCAGGGCCGAGGACGCCGCGCCTGGGCGCGCGAGGGCTTGGAGGGCACCTCCGCGGCGGAGGTCGGCAAACAGCCCGCAGGAAGCCGACCCACGCCGCGCCGAGGGCCGCCGTGCGCCGCCACCCGGCACGCACGCAGAGCAGGTGTGCGAGGTGTGCGGGGTGCGCAGGACCCTGAAGGGCAGCGAGAGGCCGGCGCGCCCGGGCAG